CTTTCCACCTCTTCCCCTCCTCCCATTTTCTTCCCCCTTCCCCCTCTCCCCCTCCCTCTCCAGTCCTAAGAGCAGTCAGGGTGCCCTGCCCTGTGGGAAGTCAAAGGTCCTCCTCCCTCCATCCAGTCTAGGAAGGTGAACATCCAAACAGGCTAGGCTTCCACAGGGCCAGTCCATGCAGTAGAATCAAAACTCAATGCCATTGTCCTTGTCTTCACAGTCAGCCCTCCTTGTCCACCACATTCAGAGAGTCTGGTTAGATCACATGCTCTCTATCCTAACAATGATGAAAATAGCAATATAGCAAAACTAATACACATAAAAAGATTTTATGTCTCTTTCTATTTTACATACTTATTGGTACTAGCATATGAACCCAGAGCTAAGCACCAACTCGACCTCTGAGCTTCACTTCTAGTCTAAATACGGGTCTTCCTGCTCTCTCTTGCAGTAGTGGGATGACCACATGGATACACTTTAAGATAATTTTTATTATTTTTATTTATATATGTGTGTGTTTGTCTGTGTCAGTGAATGTCATATGTGTATGGGTGCCTTTGAAGGCCATAAAAAAGTGTTGTGTCCCTTAGAACTGGAATTACAGGATGCTGGGAGCTTCCTAATGTGGGTGCTGAACTCCAGTCCTGAGGAAGAGCAGGACTGCTTAATGAACAGAAAAGACATTCAAAGTGCTTGATACATTATAGCTGTTCAGGAAATGGTCTTTTAAAAATACTCTTTGTTTCCCAAGGGAGTCTCACAATGTATCTCTGGCTGTCCTAGAACTCATTATGTAGACCAGGATGACCTCTAGTTCACAGAGATCCGCCTCCCTCTGCTTCCAGAGTGCTGAAATTAAAGGTGTGAGACACTACACCTGGCTTAGTAAATACTAATCTTAATTATATTTCTAGTTTTGAACTAATTTTAGATTGATATGAAGGTCTAAAGAAATGTATAAAGGTCTCGTTTAACCTTCCCTTGTCCTTTCCTAATGTTAGCAATATGGCATTGCTATAATACAGTATCAGAAATGATGGAACTGTCCCTAACTTACTGAGCTATCACCAGAGTTACATACACTTTGTATTTGTGTTGGTGTGTGTGCTGCTTGCATTTTTATTGATTGTAGTTTTGTATGCGTCAGTAAGCTGTTCTTATCACCATCTTGTATGTTACCTGTTTATATTCATACCCCTGTCTTCAACCATAGCTTGTAGCAACCACTAGTCTCTTCTGTACTTCCTCTATTTCAAGAATGTTATGTATATGCCTTTGTGGAACTATATATCTTTATGAGTTACTTTGTTTTTGAATTTGTGCTTTTTCTTTAGTATCACTTTAATGATACAGACTTTCCCTTTCTGCCCTGGTTTGCTTTCTGTGCTGTGATAAACACTAGGGCCAGAAGCAACTTGAGGAGGCAAGGGTTCATTTCAGTTTATAGTTTGTAGTTTGTAATCTGTCATGAGGGAGGTCAGAGCAGGAACATGGGAGCAGGAACTAAAGCAGAGGCCGTGGAGGAACACTGCATACTGCCTTGTTCCCTGTGGCTTGCTCAGCTTGCATTCTTATACATCTTAGGACCGCCGCCCCAGAGCTGGCACTGCCCATGTGGATTGGGCATTTTCACATCAGTCATTAATCAAGAAAATGCCTACAGACTTGCCTACAGGCCAGTCTCGTAGAGGCAGCAGCTCAGTTGAGGTTCTGTCTTTCCAGATGATTCCAGCTTGTATCAAGATAATAAACTAGGAGCTGGAGAGATGGCTCAGTGGTTAAGAGCATTGCCTGCTCTTCCAAAGGTTCTGAGTTCAATTCCTGGCAACCACATGGTGGCTCACAACCATCTGTAATGAGGTCTGGTGCCCTCTTCTGGCCTGCAGGCATACACACAGACAGGACATTGTGTACATA